GGGAGGTGTTGATTAGCTGTTTTCTTCCACGCTTGCCTGAAGTTGGTAGCAAAAAATATAGAACTTTGTTTGCAATTTGATAGGCCTAGCAAAAAATTTGACAGGTTTGTTCTTTTCCTTTTGGCATTATATAGTAGTGGATGTTAATTTTGACCTTTACCTTTTAAGGATCCAATTTAAGGCTTTAGGTCCGACAGAGGCCAAATCGTTTGACTAGCGCTTCTATAATATTTCTAATTCCATTGCCTGTTCAGGTAGTAGGAATTGCATTACCGTAGGATTGATTTAGTTAGGGTCGCCGTTGCTGGGACTTTGGTTGCCGGCTCCCTTATCATCAGGTCATAGGCACCTCCAGTATTGGGCAGGCAGGCGTCAACCCCCACAATACATGTATTTTTGGTAAATAGCAGTTGTGCCTGGTTACTGTGATCTGTTTAGGAGGAGGCACCCCTTCTCCAAAAGTCACGGGGCTATCTTGCTGAGTTCCTTAGAGAGAGTTGTCTCCTCCTCCTAGTTATTCTTTACCTAACACACTGACAGTTTGGGAATTTGAGTAGTTTCCCTTATGTAAATGATTCTTCAGTGGTTAGCTCCAGACATGGGCTTCATCCCATCATTATATGGGTAGTTGGGTGTTTAGCAATGATGAATCATTTTTCGTGTCCACATAATAGTACATTTTTTCCATCCTTATAACTTGAAAGCAAAATGCTTTTTTGCGCATGAGCTTTTGGGGTTCCAAGGACAGGCTTGACCTTGTTGGATGTTTATATTACGACTATCAATGGACATGGACATTCATGTTCTGTTGTCTTTGTGCTTATTAAGGATGGATTACCATCCATCTGTATATTTTGTCTAACGCCTGACTGTTCTTCTTCCACTTTCTCCCCTGCTGAATATCTTCATGCTTAAAATATAGACAGACTTATTAAATTTGCCTTCTGATAAGCCATAATTAGCCGACAGGTCGTCCACCTTCTGAGGATAAAAGTCTGTTTTTACTAATGCAGCTTTCTAAGTTTAAGTGACCTAGATGGGTTCAGCTGTGTTTGCTGCATCAGTCTTCCTTCCTAACTTGTCATTACTGCAGTTATATAAGAACCAAATACAAATATAGAGAAAGTTACTACTTAAGATATCCTGTTAAACTATATAAAACGATTTATCATCCTCATCCTCAAAAGAAAAAGAAAGATTTATCTTCCTGGTATTCAGATAAAATTGAAGTGTCTTATCTTCCTGGAAAACTTAGTTTATTCTATCTGGTTGGAGTAATTGAATTGCTACATCCCTTTGAAGTGAAAGATCTTCCAGATTGGCGCAAGGGATACTGTATCCGACCTTTGTAGGCTACAGCTTCCTGGAATAGCCATAAAGGATATAGTTTCAGTGAATGCGATAATGTCTTGTGAAATAGACATGAAAAAGGTATAAAAAGAGATGCCCTCTCTAATAACCTTAAAAAGGAGGTCATATCAAACAAGCAGAGAAGTTTGGGTAACATTGTTGAATTGCAAATACAAAATGCTTGTGTGTTAGTACAGGAAGGTTTGCTCTTCTGGTTCAAACAACAATGACAACATACTCACCTCAAAAGCGGGGTCTGAAGAGGGAGAGTGTACGCAGACCTTACTCCTACCTTGTGTGAGGTAGGGGATACTTAAAGTGGTAAAGACCTTTCTAATTCCTTATTGAAAAAAACCCTTGTAAAATGAGGATCTTCAAGCATGCCTCATTCACATGCAAAAACTTTCTGTTTAAGTTGAATGGAAAAGAACTTTTCAAACCTTTGATTTTTCTGAGGTAAAAAGAGGGCAAAATAATTAGCAATGAGATCTCTTCATTCCAGCCTTCAAGGAGGGTTGTGAGGGCCAGCTTCAAGGAGGTTTATATATACATACCTATTTTTGTACTATAGAGAGTTGAGCAGTGCCGTGAAAGGCGCTCGCCTTAGCGCTTAAAGTGTGAGGCGATGCGAAGCAGACATTTGTCGCCTTTTTGCTCTGTAGCGAGGAGGCAACAAGGAGGAGATAAGACGTTGAGAACCATTGCTTTTTTTTTTTCTTTCTAAAAAAAGACAATGTCTTAAAATGCAACATATAGGGTTTTCATGTCAGACTCAGACCTTTGCGCAGCTCTTCTTCGGTTCTTCCTCTTTCAGTCGCAACAGCCAGGGTTCAGCCATTCAGGTACTTGCTTCTTTTTCTATTTTCTTCTTCTTTCTTCTTTCTTTTATTTCTTTTTTTTCCGGCAGCAACTATCTTTTTCCGGCAACAATTTCTTTTCTTCCTTTTGTTTTCCAATAGCAACTCTATTTTTCCGGCAACAAACTCTGTTTTCTGTTTCGGGAGTTGTTTTATTCAGTTTTTTGCTTCCTCCATTACCTGCATTTTTTTTTGCAGGTTTAATATACAACTGATTACATAATAACTATTATTTTTGTCTATAAACAGTATACTCAATGGCATCATCTAACGGTAGCAAATAGAATGAAATAGCTTGGAATACGAGGAGCAAAAAAATGAGCAATTCAATGTGTGTTTTGCTAAAAAACTTACCGAGGCGGAATTACTCGTCATAAACAACATTTACTTGGTGGGTTTAAAATGTAGTACAATGTCTAGTTTGTCCGGCTGAGGGAAGAAATAAAAGCGTTTGTTAAAAAGAAAAATGTGGTAAAACTCAAATGAGCTACAAAGCACATGTGGCTAATCTTATTGATGATGAAGATGATGAAATGGATGAAGATGATGAAATAGGGTCTCCTCCCCACAAAATTAAAAAATGTCTTCAACTAGTGCAGTGGATCATGCATGGCATGGTTTAGGACGAAGGTCTTCTCAATCTTTATTTCTCGTAAAAATCACAGGAGAAGAGAAAAGGTGATGATGGTATAGAAAGAACCAAGAAGATTTTAAGGGATCACGCTGTGAGTGATTTTGCAACATAGATCTACGATGTAGGATTTCCTTTCTTTCAATTGTGTCAATTACAAAAGCTTTGCTAAATTCATTGAGGCCGTAGGACAATATGGCTAGGGAAATGAAGCCTCCTAGCCATCACGAAGTCAGAGTTTCTCTTCTAGAAAAGGCGGTGGAGAAGTAGATAAGATTGTTGAGGAACATACAGTGCAAAGAAACAAATTTGGATGTTCCATTATGATGGATAAATGGACAGCACGAAATAGAAAAATGATCATCAATGTTTTGGTGAATTCTATAAGAGGTAGTGTATTTTTTGGATCCTACGACGTTAGCAACTCTTCCATGGATTCCACCAAAATGTACAACTTGTTTGAGGAGAGCATTGAGAAAATTGGAAAGGAAAATGTTGTACAAATTGCGACTGGTAACGCTATTGAGAATGTCATAGCGTGTTGAAGGGTGTGTACCCACACATTTATTGGATTGCATTGTGCTGCCCAATGTATCAATTCGATATTTGGTGACATCTTCAAGGCAAAACCCGTATACTTCATGTAACTTTAATGTAGTTGTCTTTAATATAGCTTTAACTTTCTTTATACTTATTAACTATTAAAATATTATTTTACAGCTTTTGCTAAGGCCATAAAGATATTTTCTTACATTAGTTAGAGGCTATTGTTGCTGAACTTGATGAGACAATTTACAAACAAAAGAAATTTGGTGAGACCGGCCAAGACAAGATTTACTTCGGCTTTCTTGACTTTGCATGATTTTACATGCAAAAGAAAAACTTGAGAAGACTAGTCACTTCAACTGAATAGAAAAAAGTAGATTAGCAAAGGAACGTGCGGAAAAGAAGCTGTCTGACATATTATTTCTCCATCATTTTGGAATTACGTTGTTCGGGCATTTAGAGTTGGCGGTCCTTTGATTACGGTACTTCATTTGGCGAATTGGGAGAAAACCACCAATGAGCTATCTTTATGAAGATATGGATAGAGCCTAAGCTATTGAAGAGTCATTTGAGACCGATGAAAGTAAATATGAGAAAATTTTCGAGATCATTGATAGAAGGTGGTTGGATCAACTTCATCGACCTTTGCATGCAGCAGAACATATTATTACTCGGGTCTATTTAATAAGAATAATGGCAATGGCACTTTAGATGCAGAAGTGTGGCTGAGATATCATGCATGTGTTGAGAAGTTGGTCCCTAATTTAACACTGATAGATAAAATAGGGTCAGAGCGTGCTAAGTATACATAAGGAGATGCACTATTTGGTTATAATACAACTGTTAGAGCCAGAGACATAAGGTCACCAGGGAAGTGAGTTGTTTTAGTTGTCTTTATAGCTTTACTTTTAAGTTATTTGATTCATTTATACTTATTAACTTTTAAAATATTTTTTCGATAGTTGAATGGTAGTTGCAACGTGGTCATCAAACTCCAAAGTTGCAAAAGTTTGCTGTCAAAGTACTAAGTATAGCTTGTAGCTCATTCGGATGTGAGAGAAATTAGAGTGTGTTTAAACATGTGATAAGATTTATTATATTCTATATTACGTTATTATTACTCCCTCGGTTTCAAAAAGATTAACACTATTTCCTTATTAGTCTGCTCTAAAAAGATTGTCATATTTCAATATTTCCTTAATAGGAACATTTATAGTCACAAAAATGCTATGACAGGTTTTAGACCAAATATTTCAAAAGTTTTACATCCACATAAATACTATGGCTTATTTAAGGCCTCATATCTTAAAAGTCTTCTCTTTATTAAAGTTTGTGGCAAGTCAAACTAAGACAATCTTTTTGTAACGGAGGGAGTAGTATCTATTAAGTATTCTCTAGAACTTATGTGCAGATTTATTCCAAGATGAGGAAAAGGCTTGAAGTATCGCGGTTCAATGATCTAGTGTATATTAAATTAGAACAACGAAACGTCGTTATGAAGCTCGCGATACCATTGATTCAAATAATATTGAGGCAAATGAATGGTTAATTGGATCCTCCCAAAATCATGAAGAAGAAGAAGTATATGAAGAATGGTATCGCGAGCGTCATAATGACGCTTCAATGTTCTATTGTATTTAATATACACTAGATCATTGAGACGCGATAACTCAAGTCTATTCCTTTTCTTGGAGTGAATCTGCGCATAAGTTGTCGAGAGTAATTAATAGATACTAATAATAGTACAATATAGAATATATTAATATAATAAATCTGCTTCTTACATGTTCAAATACGCTCTAATTTCTCTCACATCCAGATGCACTACAAGTTAAGTTTAGTACTTTGACAGCAAGCTTTTGCAAATTTGGAGTTTGATGGCCAAACTGCATCCACCATTCAACTATAGAAAAATGTTTTAAAAATTAATGGGTATAAAATAAATAAATAAATAAATAAATAAATAAATAAATAAATAAATAAAATCAAATAAATTAAAGCTATAAGGACATCTATATTAAAGTTAGTTACCGACCTTATGTCTCTGGCTCTAATAGCCGTCAATAAACCAAATAGGCCATCTGCTTGTGTGTACTTATCAAACTCCTCCCTTATTTGATCTACCATCGCTGCATTAGGGACTAACTTCTCAATACGTTTATGGTATCCAACCTACATCTCTGAATCTAAAGTCCTGTCGCTATTATTCTTGTAAATCAATACCGAGTTCAAAATATGGTCTGCTGCTTGCAAAGGTCGATGAAGTTGAATCAATCACATATCAATGATCTCGAAAACTTTCTCATATTTCCTCAGATCTCCCTCAAATGACGCTTTAATAGTTTCTTTGGCTCTATCTATAGCTTTATAAAATAGCAAATTGGTGGTTTTCTCTCCCCATCCACCATGCGAAGTACCTTAATCAAAGGACCACCAACTTTAAGTGCCTGAACAACATCATTCCAAAATGATGGTAGCCGTTTCTTTCCCCGCAGCTTCCTTTGCATATCTATTTTCTTTCCATTCGGTTGAAAGAACTAGCTTTCTCAAGTTTTTCCTTTGCAAGTAAAAACTATGCAAAGTCAAGAAAACCGTCGCAAATCTTGTCTTGGCCGGTCTCACCAGATTTCTTTGATTTGTAAATTGCTTCTCAAATTCACAACAATGGTCTCTGACTGATGTAAGAATATATCTTGATGGCCTTAGTGAAAACCGTAAAAGTAACAATAACAATTTTATAGTTAATATGACATAAGTATAAATAAAGTTAAAGCTTTAAAGATAACTATATTAAAGTGACCTGAAGTATATGAGTTTTCTTTGAATATGCAAATTGATACAATGGGTAGCACATGGAGTCCAATAAATATGTATATACGCACCCTGCATCATCTTACCCGTGCTAACATTCTCACTAGCGTATCGGTAACAACTTGTACAACATTTTCCTTCCCAATTTTCTCAATAGTCTTTGCAAACAAGTTATACATTTTGGTGGAATCCGTAGAAGAATTGCTAGTACTGTAATATTCAAGAAAAACACTAACTCTTGGAGAATTCACCACACATTTATGACCAATTTTCCGATTCGTGCTGTCAATTTATCCATCATAATAGAACATCCAAACTTGTCTCATTCCACTCTATGCTCCGCAACAACCTTGTCTATCTTCCTCACCTCTTTTTTAAGATGAGTTACTCTAACTTCATGATCGCTAGGAGGCTTCATTCTTGGGCCATATTGTCTTACGGCCTCAATGAATTTATCAAAAGTTTTTTAGTTAAACACAATTGAGAAGGAGCCTTTCATCGTAGATCCATGTTGCAAAAGCACTTACAGCGCAATCCCTCAAAATCTTCTTGGCTTCTAAACCTAAACCAGAATCACCTTTTCCCTTTTCTTGCTGTTTTGTCGAGAAATAAAGATTGAGAGGATCTTTCGTCACCATAAGCGCCGTGGATGATCCACTAGAACTATCTGAAGATATTTTTTGAGTTTTTTTTTGTTTTTTTTTTGTGTGTGTGGTGGGGTGGGGGGGTCGGGGGGGGGTTCTAGTTCATCTCTCTCTACT